GTTGGAAAGATTGTAAGTCTTAAAACTACATAAAACCCTTTATGATCCTAACTTCAGTTTTCCTATTTGTATTGTGTAAGCCATTTGGCCTCTAGCTGCATTTACTTCCTTAGTGCCCTCACCCATAGTTCTCTCAGGCCCAGAGTAAATCCTAGCGTCTCTACCAGCACCTAGTTCTTTCAGCCTAGATCCTCTTCTGCACCCTTCACTCACTGAGAGGGACGAACTTCCCTCCCTACTCAGTCCACTCTGAATCCTGAGCCACCTCTACACCCAGGAGGACCTAAGCCACCCCAAATCCTAAACCGCCTTCCTGCACAGATTCTGATAAAGCACTGATTAAGTGGTAGGTGGGACCCTAGCCCTACCTTGACGGTGAGGAATGAAATCTTCTCGTACTCTTTAACGAAGCCAGCAACCTGCTTGTTCCAGTACCAAGGCTGATAGGGGCTCACCATCTGGGGACCAAAGGAAGGAGTCACTCAGCAACTCTGCTCTTCACTCCCTCTGCAAAGGGATTCCTCCTTAAACCAGCCCACAGACTAACGGACCCTTATTTGAGTTTCCCTGCACAGCTACCAGCTCTGAGGGGCACAAGAAGGGGGTTTGGAGCTGAAGCATCAGGTTCTTATGAGCCGGTTATCCCAGGGGTGCTCTACAGGCACCCCTCCATCACCAGGGCAGTACTCTTCATTAGTTCAGTGAAGACTCATGGATTAAATATCCGCTATGTCTTAGAACCTAACACTGGACTGCCTGTGCTGTTGGTGGACTAGCTAAGAAGCCAGTTGTTGAACACAGAATTACAAGTATAACAAATGTTAATAAAGGGCAAAGCACAGCTGTCTTTGGGCAGTCTACAACCTAGTCTAGGGATCTGAAGACTTCTCTGAGGTTGTAAAAGGAGTAGGAGTTATGTAGGCAGAATGGCAGGAAGTGATGCCTCCCACAGATGATACTGGATCTTTGGGCATGTTTGAGGAGTTATAAGACCAGGAGGGCTAGAGCCCTGAAAGGTAGGCCCAGTGTCATCTGCATTGTTTCGAAGTCACACAGGCTGTGATGTGGAGGAAGAATTGTTACCCAGCCAGAGACAATGCTGAGAAACTAACCAGAAAGCCGCTGAAGAGTCCAGGAGAGCTGGTGCAGTGGGGATGGAGAGAATTGGGACCAGAAGCAATGTAGGGGGTAAAAATCTCTTGGTTTTGGCAATAGAATGAAAGGCAAGGGAGAAAAAGTGAAGAATGGCCTGCTACTGGGTACACTTCTCCTGTGAGACAGGGAGACTGGGAGAGTTCGGGATAGAGAGGATGAGTTCAGTTTGGGGGTTGAAGGTGATTAACTCAGTGGAGATGCCTAGAGGCCTCAGGAGCTTAAGCTCTGGGAGACTCTGGAAACGATGGCAGTCAGTGACAGGCGAGTTGAGCTGCTGGCCTATGGGAGCTGGCAGGCAGTACAAGCCAGACCTGAGAAGAGCTGGGCTCTCACTCAAGGTTATGGGGGGAAGAATCCCCAGCAAAGAAAACAAGGAGGAGCAGTCCAGCCCAGGTGGTCTAGGACTACTAGAGGCCCAGAGAAATGAAGGGCTCAGTGTTTTTGAGCAGTCAGGCAAGGAGGGGCTGGCAAGGTTGTTGGGCTGGCTGTGTGATAGCTGACCAGTGGTGACCTTTCTGTGGAGTGAAGAGAGTCTGGAAAAAGACAGCTGGAGGGGACCTGGAGTATTCTGCTATTTTAAAGGTGGAAAGATTGGTCTACATTTAAATGCTAATGAAATTCTTTTGGAAAGAAGTTCTCTCTTTGCCTGAAAGATTTGGGTGGAGCTCAACTTTGGAGAGTTGGAAGGATGAGATTTCCTTCTTTGTTCTCCAAAGGAAGAAAGAAATGGACTTTGATCATCTACCCAGCCCTCCCTGCTCTGGGCATTTCTTCCTGAGGCACAATGCTCACAGGATAACCTTTTTTGGAGCAGCACTGGTAAGATTTCCCCAGGGCTGCAGCACTTGACCCCCACCCCCCCAGCCCTAACTGAGGCCTCCCTCTGCAGGCACCACCTCCTCACCGGCTGGTTCAGGGCCTCCACGAACCTCTCCCCGCCTAGGAAGTTGCAAGCCATGTCAACGTCACCATTGTAGACAAGGGCGCGGAGGTCGTACTGCAGCAGCTCATGGTAGAAAGGAGCCATGTCCATATACTGCCTCTGGTACTGAGAGCTAACCTGGGGGCTGCAGGGAGAAGCAGCTGAAGGTAGCTGAATCCAGGCTGGGACTCAGGAAAACAGAACTGTGGTTTCTTTCAACAAATATTTGAGTACTTACCAGGTGCTGGGATTACAACAGTGAACAAGTATTCCTGCCTTAACCCCCCTTTCAGTGCCTGCTGTTTCTCCCCCCTCTTCTCCTCCATAAAGGCCCCTCAATCTTGTTCCAGCTGTCATGCCTCAACCAGTGGGTACCCCAGATCATGGGCTTACCTGCACAGTTCCCAGGCAGGGAGGGAGTTGGGAATGTGGAGGGCCTGTCTCACATCATTCTGGTTCAGCCACACGTACATGGCAGTGGCATTGATGCATGCAGGCACCCCAGGGATGGGACCATCAGGAGGCTGGAGGCAGAGAGGTGATAAGAGGTTATGGGGTCCGAAGCCACAGAAACTCCCTTACACCCTCCCTCTATCCCATTATTATAAGCCCAGGCCTCCTAGTCTTGATGAATCCCACAGAGATGCTCATTGGGAATTTTGCAAACCCTTTTCATGTTCTATATCCCTGATGCATTTCTATAATTTTGCTCATCTTCTTCCCATGTGGCTAAGTCCTTCCCCGTCTCTAGGCCTCAGATTCTGCTCTGTAAAACAGAAGAGCTGACCCAGATAATCTCTAAATCCGCTCCATCTGGAACTGTTCTGAATCCTGGAGGAGGTCCTGGACTACTGTGCCAGCGGGATAGTGGTCTAAAAGAATAATAACTGGGGAAGGCAAGGTGAGGTGGGAGGGGCAGCCAGGCCATTCTGCTTGCCTTCCTTTCTGCCTCACCATCCTCATTCAATCTTCCCGAAACATAAGGACTCCATCTTACCAGCCCTGGATGAGGGACTCTGGGGGAAGCATTGCTCTTCTCCCATTCCCACCCTCCTGAGCACCCCTCCATCCCAATCCCTTTCAGGCTCAGATACGCTGTCTCCCATTCAAAGCTATCCTGGCACAGAAAGCATTCAACAGAGCAGACAGCTGGTACCAAGAGTACTTCCAGGGGAGCCAGAGCAAAGTACCTTAGGTACTACAGTCTGGGCTTTGGAATCTGACTCTTTAGGGTCTATTCCACCTAGACTTGAATGAAAGGAAGGAAGCCATGGAGACATCTGGTGACAGAGGGTTCAGGCAGGAGACCAGGAAATGCAAAGCTCCTGAGGCGAGTCAGCTGAAGCAGAGCAGTGGTCATGGAAGAGAGCGGTGGAGTGTGAGATCAGAGGGGAGTTAGGACAGGTGGGACCCTGGAGCCCCTAGGTAACCTTGCACTGGGCTCTGAGCTGCAGTTCCTTCATCTATGAAATGGGGATAACAATAGTACATACCAGAGAGGATGTTTGGGAGGGTTAAATAAGGTAAATTATGTAAAATAACCAATGCCTGGCATAGAGGAAGTTCACTTATTCAGTCATTCATTCAACAAATAGGTATTAAATGTCTCCTGTGTGCCAGATGTTGGGAATGTGGTAGGAAAATAGCTAAGTTTCTGCAATGGTTGACCTTTCATTTAAATGAGGGGCAGGGAAGAAATGAACAATAATAAATAAATAATAACAGGCAGTAAAATTGCTACAAAAAATAATAAAGTAGATGCAGCCCCACAGTGTAGTGATTAAGCACTATGCGTTGCTCTTAGCGATTAAGCACTAGGAATTGCTCTGTAGTCTTTCCAGGGTTGGGAGTGAAACACGGTTTACTACAGTTTGGGAACTGGGTCCCATGTGGTCAGCCATGGTTCAGATTCCAACCCCAGTGGCTTGAAAGACAAGCCAGGTGCATACGAGTGTGTGTCTAAAATCCTGATGGAATGGATAAATGGAGGAAAATGGGATTACAGCATGACCATACCCTATCAGGAAGGATGTTTTTGTTCTAGCTCTCTCTGGCAACAACAACAATAATAGTAAAGAACAAGACAAGGCCAGCAAGTGGTGTGGTGGCTGGGGCACTGGACTCCCACATGATTAGCCGCAGTTCAAATCCCATATCTGGCAACTTGCTTTCTCACTTTCCCTTTCTCTCTCTCTCTGTTCAAATTAATAATAATAATAACTGCAATTAAAGAAAGAATTCTTTAAAAAAAAAGAACAAGGTGCTAAAGTCGTAAAAGAGGTAGGAGGTAGGTAACAGAAGTCCTCTCTGATGGAGGATGTGAATAGACTGGAATGAAAATAAGGAAGGAAGCCATCGAGATATCTGGTGATAGAGGGTTCAGGCAAGAGACCAGAAAATGCAAAGATCCTGAGGCAAGTCTGTAGGTGAAGCTGAAGCAGAGCAGTGATAGTGGAGGAGAGTGGTGGAATATGAGGGCAGAGAGGAGCTAGAACAGGTGTGGCCCTAAGGCCCTGGTGAGGACTTGAGCTTTCATTCCAGTAAGAAGAGAGCCACAGAGGATTTTGAACTAAGGATGATCTGACGTGACCTCAGTTTCAAAAGCCTGCTGCAGGGAGACACCACTATAGGAGAACAAGGGTGGTATCAGGAATCTTTGGATTAGAAGGATATTGTGACAGTGCAGGCAAGAGACTGGACTGTTGCAAAGGTAGAGAGAAGAGTTACCTTGAATAGTTATGTCCAGACTACAGGGCATAGCCCTCACCATCCCGCATCCACCCCACCAACCACTTACTGGGGTGGCCACATTGAACTTGTAACTTCGGAAGAGGTTGCTCATGTCAGCAGTATAACGCCCCTGGTAGCCATGTGCACCCCAACAGGGTGAGTAGAGGTTGTAGATGTTGAGGCCAATGCCCTGAATCATGCCATAAGCTTCCAGAACCTACAGAGAGGAATTGCTCTTTAGTCTTTCCAGGGTTGGGAGTGAAACATGGTTTACTGCAGTTTGGGAAACAGGGTCCAATTATATGATACCCAAAGCGATGGAAGCTGCCAACAAGGCATGTGGGACCTGAGCTTCTGCCCTCTGGCTTCTTAGAGGGGAGGGCAGTCTTGGAGTTAACCCCAGGGAACAGAAACATCTGTGCCATATTAGGGGAGCTGGAGAAATTCTGTAACTCTAACCACCCTCCTCCCTGCTCTAGGAGAGAGCTACCAAGTACCAAGCTTCACACACACAACATATTTTTATTAATTGCACCTGTTTAGGTAGGGCCTCTCAGTCATTTCCATTCCATAATTTAGGTCGTACTGTTTCTTTTTTTCAAATCAAAGTGCTTAAATTTCCTGGAATCACTTTTGTAGTTAAATCAGAGCCAATTCAGTTACTCCCAGACTAACTCCTAGTCATTTGCATTCAGATAGTCACATCCCCTTGAGTTGGGAAAGTTGGAGTGGAATGACAGCAGATACTGCTGGAGGAATAAGGACAGTCCTGTTTCATGATAGCAAATATAACTATCTCATGCTGCAGAGTGAATGCTATCCCTGATGTGGGTCAGGGCCCATCAGCTGAGTATTTTGCAAGGCTTTGATAGGTTTCTTGACTGGGGCGGCATGAGGGGTCTGGTGGAAAGCCACACAGCTAGGGAGGAAAACCCTGCTTTTGAACATTATAAAGCAAAAACTGAGTTTCAGTACATGCTCTGCTTCTTACTAGCTGGGAGGCCATGAGGTAGGTAGCTTGTTTTCCTATCTAAAAGATGGGAGTAATAATGTCTTTTCCAGACAGAATTAAGTCTGGGAACACACCAAACTTTCATATTGCTTAAATTTTTCATGAGGAAAATATTTTGAATTTATGGGACCAGGAGATGGCATAATGGTTATGTTGCTGGACTCCCACATAGTTGACCGCATTTCAAACCCCAGACCTGGTGGCTTAAAACTAAGGCTAGGTGCATGTGCGTGTGTGCCTAAAATCCCAAGAGGAAAATGGAGAAGGGACTGTGGTGTGGTCACCTCCCCCAGGGCCGGGGGGGTGGTGATTTCTTGCTTTCTGTCTCTTCTGCAAGTGCATACATTCTACAGGAAAAAAAATCTCTCTTAAAAATTATATATATAACAAATTAGTTTTTATTTTAAAGCAACAATGTAGGCCTCACCAACTTTCCTGCCTTTTTGGGTTACTGTATGATGCAAAAGAGGAAATGTCCTGCTTTGCACACTGAACTGGGAGGGTGTATGTGTAAGGACAGTGATGTGCAGTGGGATTTGGAGCTCATCTTTGTCCTTTGCTTGTCTGCCAGCTGAGGAGGAAAGAGACACCCCCTTTCCAACTCTTAGCCTGGGGGAGGGGGTGACTCACCGCACTGAAGCAGTTGTTCTCCGTGTTGTTGAAGAAGTTGCAGGTACTCTCAGCACAGCAATAGGTATTGAGGGTTGCCCAGAGGCTGTGGGCAGAGGACTGGAGTCAGGCAGAGAAAGCAGAGACCACCTGGACCCACCTCCATTCCTGTGACTATCACTCCATTTCCTAGCATTTTTCTTCACCTTGATCAGTCTGAATTGGCCTGCCTAGTGCTACCATCTGCCCCTAGCCTAAGGATGGCAGAGGATCACCTGCCTCAGAGGTGGATGTGCCAAAAATAAATACCAAAAGGAAACAGGACTTACTCGTCACCAATGAGGCCATGGTAATAACCAAACTCTATCAGAGTGTCATCATTCAGCTGGTAATTGCTCATCCCATTTCCTACTCCAAAGCCCTAAAAGGCAGAAGAGACAAGTCAATGCCCTCATCTCACGGTAACAGCAATAATGACTAACCTTGATTGAGTGCTCCCTGCATACCAGACTCTGATTTGAGTCCTTTACATTCATTGACTCATTTCTTCACCATAACCTTGTGAAGTAGGTCCCATCATTGCATTCCTGTTTTACAGATGAGGCAACAATGGCTCAGATAGGCTAAAGAGGTTACTCAAAGCCACATAGTCAGAGGCATAGGTAAGATTAGGCCCCAGTTGGTGTGATATGCACACCCACACTCTTGGCCATTTGGCTATGCTGCATCCCATAGGATTAACGGAGAACCATGCTCAGAATCTCAGAGCAGCTGGCACCTTTCGGATTAGCCTCATTCTCAGCTGGGGAAATTGGAAAGGGGAAGATAAGGACCAGATCAGAGGTTGCTATCCTCCAGGTACATCCCCTGTCCTGCCATTTATCTCCGTCTCCATTGATTTCATTCTAGTCATGTGTCACTGTCATCTCCTCCAAGATCACTGCAACTGGCCCTGACTGGCCTCCCTTCTTGTACTCTCCCTGCTCCTCCATAATCTACCTTGTTAAAATCCGTCCACTGGCTTCCTATGGAATCCTATGGAACCCTTACACTGGCTTACAAGGACCTCATGATCTGGTTCCTTACCTTGCCAACGGCACACATTCTGCTTTGTCCCATGTACTCACTCTGCCCTAGCGTCAGTGGCTTCTTTTCCACTATTGATTTCACCAGGGTTATTCTGACTTGTGCTTGCATTTATTTTTCTCTTGGTTTGGACTACTCTTCTCTCAACTCTTCTTGCAACTGCATCTCATAGTTCAGCTATGTTATGGTTTGGATGCATGCCCCAAAGATCATGTTTTGGAAACTTAAATCCCAATTCAACAGTGTTGAGAAAAGAAAACTTTAAAAGATCATTAGGTCATGTGGGTTCTGCATTAATTCCATTATTATGGCAATAGATTAGTTATTTTAGGACTAGGTTCCTGATAAAAGGACACATTCAGCCTCCCTGCTGCATCTGTACATGTATCTCTCTTGTTCTTCCACTTTCCATGGGATGATGCAGCAAGAAGGCCCTTGCCAGATGTGGACCCCTTGACCTTGGCCTTCCTGGTATCCAAAACTGTAGGACTTAAACTGCTGTTCTTTGTAAATTACCCATTCTCAGATTTCCTGTTATAACAACACGAAATGGACCATGTTTTCTTTTCACAAAGGCTTCCCAACAATACTAAGTGGTCCTTCATACCCCTTCACATTCTCAGAACATCTTGCTTTTATATGAGAAAAATCTATACACAGACTTCAAAACTTTTTTGTACTGAAACAAACTCATACTTAAATTCTATTTTTACAGGGCCAGCAGATGGTATAGTAGTTAAGACACTGGACTCCCACATGGTTTGAGTCCTGGAACTGACAGCTTGAAAATCACACCAGGTACATGTGTGTGCATGTCCAAAATCCCTAGAGGAGACTGGTGAAGAAGGGATTATGGTATGGCCATCCCCCTGAGGGGTAATTTTTCACTTTCCCCCTCTCCGTCTCTCTCCAGCAAGGGTACATACCCTATGGCAAAAAACACCTTAAGGGGCCAGCAGATGGTGTAGTGGTTTAGGTGCTGGTCTCCCATGTGGTTGATTGCAATTTTGAGTCCCAGATCCAGTGGCATGAAACTCACACCAACTGCATGTGCACGTGTGCCCAAAATCCCAAGAAGAGAATGGAAAAGAAGAGATTATGGCATGGCCATTCCCTCCACCCCACAGGGGAGGGTGATTTCTTGCTTTCTGTCTCTCTGTCTCTCTGGGGAGAGCATATGCCCTATAGCAAAAATCTCTGAAAACAAAACAAAGCAAAACAAATAAACTTTAAAAAGAATTCTGTTGTGGGATCAGCAGATGGTGTAATGGTTATATTGCTTGACTCTCATGTAATTGACCGCAGTTCTAGTCCTGGACCTGGCGACTTAAAACTCATGCTGAATGCATGTGTGTGCATGCCCGAGATCCTCAGAGGAGAATAGAGGAGAAGGGATTGCAGCATGGCCATCACCCCCTGGGGAGGGGATTTCTCACTTTTTATCTCTCTGTCTCTCTCTCTCTTTAGCAAGTGCATGTACCCTATAGCAAAAATCTCTCTCTAAAAACAAAAGTTTGTTTCTCTGCAGACTTCTTGAAGTCCCCCTCATATGTGTGGTCATGTTTATTATCTGTTCCTCCCCACCTGGAAGACAGAGACCATGAATGTCTTGGTTACTGCCTGGCACAGACTGGGTACAAAATGAGTATTAGCAGAATGGAAGAAGCCTTGAAGTAAAAGATAAAGATTTGCAGACACTGCTTATATTGGCTCCCACTGGGACCTGAGACTTACCTTGAAGTTAATGGAAAGTGGGCCCTTGACAATTTCTGCACTCAGGGAAGGCACGTACACACCCCCATAGCTTTCCCCAAAGACATAGAAGTCATGACCGGAAAAAGCAGGGAACTTTTCAAAGAAGCTCAGGAGTGCTTGATAGTTGTCAGCTGCCACCTGAATGGAAAGGAAGAAGGACCCCAGGTCAAGGTGGGAGAGGAGCCCAGACAGTCTCCCTGCCCCAAGCAATGGGTGATTCTCGTCTGCATACTTTCCTGGTCTCCCCGGCTCCCTTCTTCCCCTCTCCTGCCCGCTCTCCCTCTTGCAAACAAAGGCAGATCATTTAACATGGTAGAGCTGGTGAGCTTCCTATTTCTGGGGCACACAGACTGGCACAGTGGTAAAATGAGTCAGGTTGACATGAGAAGGTTCTGGATTTATATCCAGAGATCTCCCTGAGTGCTCTAGTGGGCATTTATGCTCTTGATTCAGGGCTGGCTGAACCTAGAGGTGGATCATAGTGTTGAAACTCCATGGGAATGGGGGTACTATCTTTGTGTCTCTGTTGTCTTTCTCTCGCTCACTTGTGGAAGAAATAAACTTTTTTTTTTTTTTTTTTAGAGGTTTTTGCTATAGGGCGCGTGCGCTCGCCAGACAAACAGAGAGAGAGAGAGAGACAGAAAGCGAGAAATCACCCCCCAGGGTGGATGACCACGCCATAATCCCTTCTCCTCCATTCTCCTCTTAGAATCTTGGACATGCATGCACACGTGCCCGGCGTGAGTTTTAAGCCACTGGGTCCAGGACGCGAACTGTGGTCGACTACGTGGGAGTCCAGTGACATAGCCATTACGCTAACTGCTGGTCCCAAAGAAATAAACTTTTAAAAAGCTTGGCCCATTCTGTGGCCAGGTGGTTAAGGCAGCCATATCCCACATGATTGACTATCCAGTTCAAGTCCTGGACCAGGTGGCTTGAGAAACTCACTGAGCATGTTTATGTGCATGCCAAAAATCCTGAAAGGAGGAAAAGATAGAGAAGGGTGATTGTGTGATTATTGGGGGTGCTTTCTCTTCTTCCTCTCTCTCTCTCTGTCTCTCTCTGGCAAGTGCATACACCCTCTAGCCAAAAAAACAAACAAGCTTCCTAGTACCCTTAACCCTGACAGAGCTTGCCACTCTCCCCCTTAAATGTGGTGCTCCAGCCTTCCATGTATCACTTTCATTATCTCCACATCTTTGCCTATTGCTCCCTCTGCCTGGAACACTCACTGGGCTTCCCTCCCCTAGTGCCCATAGTGGTACGTGGCTCCCTGCTTGGTGCTTGGTGCTCCCTGTACCTCCTTTATCATATCCCTCAGACTGGTAATGGCCTTTTAAATGTCTGACACTAACTGAACTGTCAGCTTCACCGGGGAAGGCTCTGGGTCTGCCTCCTTCACTTATTTCCCTCATAGGTAGCCAATACCTCACACATGGTAAATTGCTTAAAAAAAAAAAAAAAAAGTTGCATTCTATTTCAGATTAGTAGGACTGGCCTTGTGGCACAGCGATTAAGCATCATGCATTGGGAGCCAGATCCCACATGGCCAACTGCAGTTCAGACTCTGGCCCCTGGCCTCAGTGTCTTGAAAAACACTCTAGGTGTGTGTGCATGCATGCCCCAAATCCTGTTGAGCTGGAGAAATAGAAGAAAAGGTGTGCATGTGGCCATGCTTTATGGGGTAGGGATGGTGGTTACGCTGTCTCTCTCTGGCGTTAAACACATGCATCTTCTGACAATTAAAAAATAAATTCAGATTAGAAAATGAAGCTTGGGGCCAGCAGGTGGTACAGTGGTTGAGGTGCTGGGCTCCCTCATGGCTGACTGCGGTTTGAGTCCTTGACCTGGCCACTTGCCTTCTCACTTTCCCTTTCTCTCTCTCTGTCTCTCTGGTCAAATCAAATAATAATGATGATGATAATAATAATAATAATAATAACAAATAAAATAATTTCCTTTAAAAAAAAGAAAATGAAGCTTGAGAGATGATTTTTGTCTGGGTCTTTAATTTCACAAATGGGGAAACTCAGGTTCAGGGAGGGTAAATGACCTGCCCAGCATCACACAGGCTGTAGCTGCCAAGTTACACAAGTGTCTGCTTTCCAGTCTGATCTCATGACAGCCTCAAGAATGACAAGTGACGGGAACCAGCAGTTAGCGTAATGGCTATGTCGCTGGACTCCCATGTAGTCGACCG